GGTCATCCAATCCACATAACTATTACTATAGTATGACTATCATAATGTTAATAAACCATGGCGTCTTTTATAATGAAGTTACAGAAGTTTACTTTTGTTTAATGCATAAGATATGGCAAACGAACATGCTCTTTTAGTCTTTTATGTGCAGACCGGGTCAACGGCAAGTTAAATGCATTCATCTGTGGTTCTTAATATAAAAATAGATTTGATTTTTATCTTATTATAAATATAAGACTTTAATATACTATGTTTCTTATACTTATTTAAGGTAATCCTTATAATATTGATAGTTTTAGCCAATATATTTAATCAGTAAGGATATTTTAAAAAAGATAATACCTATTTATCATAAATAACTAATTTAACTAGTTTTTTAATGTACTCAAATTTGTCAACTAACTCTTATATTAGAAACCGGAGGTAGTATTTAATAATTATAAACTTTTTTCTGTTGTTTGACCGGCTATAAACCTTATGATACAGCTGTAGCATTTGACGTCTGTGGGACCTGATAGTCGTTATGATGCTCTTATATGTTCATTATTAATTTCAACAATAGCATAATAATAACTTTAATAATTCAAACCCATTAAATACAAAACACTGACTATTTTATCTCTTGTATTTATCCATTGTCATTGTTACAAATATAGTTCTACCCATTATACTTTATCAGCAAATATATTTTAAAAAAATAACATATATTTATTATAAATAACTAATATAACTGATTTTTTTATTATATTTAAATCAGCTAACTAACTCTTGTACTAGTATACTACTACAAAGGACAGGATATATGCAATTTGGAAAAACGAGTGTTTATTTATGTTTTCTTGACTTTTTTAAAAATAACGCGGCCCCTGGAGAAAACAGAAAACCGACCACGTCTTGCGCTTGAAAATTGAAATGATTCGGTCCGGGGTGCCTTGGTGACTAAGAAAATCTGATTTGAGAATACGTCACGGCTTTCGTCACTGAATGAAGTCAGCCAATGAGCGAACAAAGAAACAGAACATGTTTTTTGGTTTTTTCATATCTTGTGTATTCTTCGTATTCTAGTTCCATTTCCTCTCATCTGTAGTCATTTACTTGTATTTATGCATATGAGAGGATATCTTTAAATTCAGGATAATAAGTTCCGGTCAAAAAAAAAAAATTCAGGATAATAAGCTCTTCGATGGCCGGGGAACAAGCTTTGATGTTATACATTTCCATGATAAAAAATACTCCTCCGGTCCCAATGTAAAATCTAAGCCATTGATTTGAATAAATTAAGCATGTTAGTTAAATTAATTAATGTGATATATTTTTTTAAAAAAATCGTAAGCATATTCTTATATCAGTTCTTATTCAACTTCAACTACTTCATCCGCATCCACGCACACATATGCTCTATGCATATGCATATTCATAAAACAGTCACGAAGTATTATAATTGCATCAGGGTCAGAGCCCACCAATTCTTTGCCGAAGAGGCTTAGAAGGCCCACATGATGTGGGCCAATGGGCCAAAACGGGTCGTTTGGGCCGGTGTCTTTCCTGGGGCTGGGTCATTTATGGGCCACTGTCCCATCTATCCGCGTATCTGCAATTTTTGGTGATGACTACGTGTTTGTTTTCGCGTAGGAACTCGGACAAGTCTTCATAGTTTACTCCGTCGTCTCGTTCCCACTATGGTCTGTGCTCTGCAGTCCACGCGAGATTTGAATTGGAGATTTGAATTTCAAAGTAACGCATCCAATTTCATGGTGGATTTCCCACATCTTCAAAAGCTAAAGGCACTCAACGGGCTCCGTCAAAGTCCCCCGACGGTCCTACGCTCCCTTCCTTCTTCCTTTATATACCCACTACTCACCCTCCTTCCCCCTTTAACATTCCCCTTTCACTAAAAAGCTTCCTTTCAACCCCTAACACATGGAAAATTCTGAACCCCTCCCGATCAAATCCATGGCGATTCCCTTTCATGGAGGCAAATACGTGAGATTCAACATTCTTGGCAATCCTTTCGATGTTTATGCCAAATATGCGCCTCCTATACAGCCTGTCGGACGCGGCGCTTACGGCATCGTTTGGTATTACTTCATCTCATCCATCCGTTGGTATACTTTAATTTGTCTATCCCCGTTGATCTTTCTGATTGTTAGTGCAGCTGTGCGACGAATTCTGAGACTAAGGAAGAGGTTGCGATTAAGAAGATAGGGAACGCATTCGACAACAGGATCGACGCCAAGAGGACACTTCGTGAAATCAAGCTTCTCAGTCATATGGATCATGACAACGTATGGCTCTTTTACTCTCTGATTGTACTTGCTTCCCTTTTCCCATCTTGTATCATCCAACTATGACAGCATATGCTTGATTTTTCTGCCTCTGTGCATGAGACACTAGGTTGCAATATCTGTTTGAAATGACGGCTTTGATTGCACCTGAACTTTGTAGGCTATGTCTTGTACATGACTCTCTTCAATGGTATTGTGCAGATAATTAAAATTAAGGACATCATACGGCCGCCAGAGAGGCAAAATTTTAATGATGTTTACATTGTGTATGAATTGATGGATACTGACCTACACCAGATCATTCGCTCTCCCCAGGATCTCGCGGATGAGCATTGTCAAGTGAGTATCTTGGAATCTTGCGAATGTAATTCTTACCGTATAAAGTTGAGATGACGGATTGCTAGCTTTATTTTTTCCTCAATTAATTCACTGATTTTGAACTCAAGAGATTCGGTTCGTAAACAGAATATTGTAAAAGACTCCAGCTTATGCTGAATGTTAAATGTCATTGCAGTATTTCCTATATCAGCTCTTGAGAGGATTGAAGTACATACACTCTGCAAATGTGTTGCACCGAGATTTAAAACCAAGCAACTTACTCCTCAACGCAAACTGTGATCTCAAGATATGCGACTTTGGGCTGGCCAGAACTACCTCTGAGACAGACTTTATGACAGAATATGTCGTGACTCGTTGGTATAGGGCCCCTGAATTGCTATTGAATTGTTCAGAATATACTGCAGCTATTGATGTATGGTCCGTTGGCTGCATTTTGATGGAGATAATTAGAAGGGAGCCTCTATTTCCGGGCAAAGACTATGTTCAGCAGTTGACGCTTATAACAGAGGTATTTTTCTTCTCCCCGTTGACAATTTGAATTCTTAACATTCTGAACCTTTTGGTAGACAATAGGAGTGCCGGTAACTAGTAAGTGAAGGTCCCGGTTGGGTAAAATACTGCTGAACACAGTCCTCATAGTTATCTTCATCAATCAGCTCCTAGGTTCTCCAGATGATTCAGACCTTGGATTCTTGCGAAGCGATAATGCAAAGAAGTACGTTAAACAGCTCCCACGTGTTGAAAAGCAACCCTTCGCATCCAGGTTTCCTGATGTGTCGCCGTTGGCAATTGATCTTGCGGAGAAAATGCTGGTTTTCGATCCGTCCAAACGCATAACTGGTACGCCTCTTTTAGTTTGATAATCGTTTCTATCATTCGTTCATCTCCTTGAATTGTATTGTATGTCTGGACAGTGGAAGAAGCGTTGAATCACCCGTATTTGTCAAGTCTTCATGAGATCAACGAGGAGCCCATTTGCCCAACTCCTTTCATCTTTGATTTCGAGCAGACGACTTTAAGCGAAGAAGATATAAAGGATCTCATATGGAGGGAGTCTCTTCACTTTCATCCAGATGAGATGGCGGAATAGTCCAGGAAAATCGGTCCTTTGCTCTTAATGTTTGGTTTTATAAAATATCATATACGAGTTTGGAACTGTGTGGAGAGATGGTGAATGCGATGTTGTAATCTGTATAGTGAGAGTGAAGAGGGAGATAGGTTCACCCGGGATGCAAGTTTCTTTTTCTTATTTTTTCGCTCCTTTTATTTTTCGAGCTTTTGCACCGTCTCATTTTGGTTGACTGTCTGTCTTGCTGAAGCGAGGGTTATATGCCCCACAACCCTTTAGCCCATGGCTTCTCATTGTAGAAAACCAAATGCAGCAATGCCTAAGCCACAATAGTGGTTTTTTGTTTGGTGCTCTTATTGGTTTCTTGTCTCTATCCGTTGACTTCTTCTCTCTCCTTTTTTAAGGGGCATATAAATCCAGTAGTAACGTTGATTCAGATTTGCAATGGCTGTGACACTTGGCGTGTGAACTTGTACGCTCCCTTTTTTAAAACATGGTAAAGAATTACAGAGGATGGTGGAACGTATTGGCTATTGATTTTCCTTTTTCTTAATTTTTTTTAAAATCTTGATATGCACAATCGGTTGAGATGAATGAAAAAAAATGTTCAAATAAGAATTATAGTTACAGTAAGTTTCACTTACACGTTAATCCATAGCATTTACACATCCTCTAATGTCTTGTTAGAGGAAGGACCTAGTAGCAATTAATCTCTTCATTTGAGACCTACTGTAATTCTTTTCATAATAAATTTATGAAAAAAAAGGGTTACATACCCCTAGTAAAACTTTGATATAAATAATCATTATTAGTAATGATAACAAAAACACATCGAGTAATAAATAGGGAAAATTGCAAAAAAAGACCTTGGAATTGCAAAAACGCAGATAGGGACCCTTGACAACTTCACTTTGGGTTTTGACAACTTCAGGGCATATTATTCTTGTCAAAATCCAAAGTGAAGTTGTCAAGGGTCCCTATTTGCGTTTTTACAATTCCAAGGTCTTTTTTTGCAATTTCCCCTAATAAATATCTCAACTTAATATTAACGTATATAATAAAATCAATTACTCTCCAGTCCTAAATATAAAACCCCTGTACTAGTATGTATGAAGATATCATATTTAGGACCGGAAGAATACTTGGTTTTTGAATTTATTAGAAGGAAGATCGCCTTTAGTATCTTTAAGATTGTCTTGTCCATTGTCATGGCAGTTACTCATGGATTTTTTTTTTTTTTTGGGGGCCAACAATTATCTTCAGATCCAATTCTGACACTTGTGCAAAGCCAATCTGCGGAGTTGTGATGTAAACTTGTAATCATCAAAGTAATGCCACCGGCTACAAAGTTTTCACGTTAATAGTGACATAGTAACATCAATACAGACTAGGGATGCACCGAAGATGTATTGCATATCTACATGCTCGTTTCGTGAGCCTTTCAATTAAACTAAGATCGATGCTCATCAATGTTAGTTGTGAAATTTTCACCGCAGTGTTTGTTGAGAGGTTCGCCACTACTCCCAACTCGCATTCTATACAAGCAAGATCTACAAGATCAATGTGTGGTGTAGTGTACTATGATTGCCAGATGACAGACTAAATTCCTTTCCCAAAGGCTTACCCTATACCAAGTCTCAACAAACTCCTAGCTCCTACTTAAATGTTTAGAATATGATCACTTGTTTAGGTTGGCTCCCGAGTTTGCCGAGAGCCTTATCCAATGCTGTCTTGAAATGGTCAAAGGGAACCAGTTCCATCCTGCAAAGAGGGTGGACAATATATCAAATTGATCCGTTGACACAATGAGGAACATCAAGCGAACAGTTCATGCAAAGAAATAATAAAATCCAAGAGCTAATTGTTAATTTACAATTTGAATTCGGTAGGCAGAAGACATACTCATATTTCAACTTCCCATCTCGCACAAGACCCAGAAGCCTGTCTATCATTTTTCTGCTCTCTCCAGCTTTATCTGCAGTTATCCACTTCTGCAACCAGAAACCCCTCAGGGAAAGATCCTGCACATATGTAGTTTTAAAATTCAGTTACAAATTATAAGCCAGAGCAAGATTCTATAGTCTACCAAAGCATACAGGCACATAATATCGATAACTCAATTCGTCATAAACAAAAGTAATCAAATAGGAGGATATTCCAAGATGAAACTCTATTCTGACTCTTGGAACGCCTTACATCTATTGTCAACAGAATGTGACCTCTCACACCCTTTGAGAGAGGAAATTGCGGACATAAGATTCATCATCTTCTCCAACAGGGATCTGGAAATTCATCATGCTTATAGAGAGACAATTATGTGTGCTGACTACCTAGCGAAGAATGCTCATGGGACGTCCAGGGAGTTGAATCTGGTTCATATACCCCCGGCCTTTTGTTTGGATCAAATGTATCATGATTTAGGAAATAGCTTAGGATCTCTGTCTCCTAGGAGTTAGTCTGATGACTTAGTTTTACTTTGAAGCTGAGTTTGCCCTGTTATTAATTAGAGGAAAAAAAACGTAATCAAATAGGAGAATGAAGAAAGTACGTGGAAGTTATTAACCTTAAATATGAAGGATGAAGTTGACACTGTGATAGGCTTCTTAGACATTCCACCATATGTCACCATTGTTCCTCCCTGTCTGCAAGGCATAAAATTACTTAAATTCAAGAAAGAATACTTATTTCAACAACACGAAAGAGTTGCAACTCTTTAACCAGCTTTCCATGTTATACCTCAAAAATTTGAGAACCAGGGAAGCTGAATTCCCACCAACGCAGTTGAATCCCAATGAAGGTTCAGGCATATCACCCTATCGTGTCATGACCAAAAAGAAAATCGCTCTATAATATCAATGAGATGTAAAGTAAACCATTTGACACTCATAAAGGCATTAATTCTACAAATAAATTTTATAAACGACGCGCAGTAAAAATAATACTTGTGTGATGCTCTAATAGGAGTGCAAAAAAATGAAAGGGGAGGAGGGAGGCAAACAATTTATCTATACTTGACGCATGATTTGACACATTGTCAACTTCTAGCCACTCCTACCATTTTCACTCTTACAAACCACACAGAGTCTAAGGAATGCCATCACAAACGGTACAGGTCGAAATGTATCCAGACTACTCTTCTACATACCTGCTTTTCAGTTGGGAAAAAAGATAATAACTATTATCAACATTCAACTGAATAAATTAACGTTTATTCCAGTGATAAGAAGCCACCAACCAAATCAACAATGATATGTCAAGACTCGGAAGATACCAAGAGACTCTTGACGTTCTTCACTTCCAACTGGCTCTCAGTATAAACTTCATCAGCTCCCAATTTCTTAAGTTTTTCCTTTACTTCATCAATCCCTGCCCTGCCAAGAATTGAGTTGGCGTGCAAGAATAAGACTCCTCATAATTATTATTTCCAACAGCAGAGGAAAAAAAAGCAAGAAATTTCAACTTCTGGTTTTAATATAAGATAATGCAATAAAATTAGGACAGAATAAGCTTCGATCTCAATGTTTTAGCTAAGCTTCAACAAACGTTGACATTCAGAAGCTCATAATACCTACAATGAACCATCAAATCAGTACCTGTCCCTTACTATGTTGATGTTGTGAACACCCCGAGATTGTGCAATCTGAATGACGCACTTACCAACCATGCTTGTAGCCCCATTTTGCACAATAGAATCTCCTGTTGGTATCCACGATACGAAGTTCAATCAAGCATCAATTACTCAACTCCACAATGAAAATTTATTGAATTTGTAGACAACTGCAGTACCTGGATTCAAAGTAGTGTAATCTTCAAGCATCCTCAGGGCAGTCAAAGGATTGACAGTAATTGTAGCAGCATATTCTATGGGCACATCCTTATTTATTTTATGCCACACATTCTGATCTTTGACAATGTATGTTTGCCATGTCCCTGTGCCAGAGGAAAATCAAGTACCTTTTGATACGATCAGAGAACGCAAAGGGTTCAATGGGATGTTTCTACATTCCAATTAGAGAAGAAAATATGATTTTCTCAACCTCTTGACACATGATATGCTTTTTGAACCAATTTTGTGCGTATGAACTGAAGATATTTGAACCGGGCAGTTTTTTAGATTGCCAGTACGAAGTCTTCTAATCTGCTCAGGTTGCAATTGAATTCGAGTTATAGGAACGGGGACAAGCGGCGTCAGTGCATTTATTTCCAATTCTATGACCTCAGAGCGACTTAGAATAAAAGCTTAAATTCGTGTAACACGGACAATAGCAGGCATACTAACTCATAAAAAGGTCTAATTAATAAATTTTAGAATCATATTTATTAATCGAATATGAAAGAAATATCAAATGGTGAAATGAGCGAGAGAGGCGCACCAAAAGAAGGTGGAGAAGGAATAACCCAATCACCAGGAGATAGAGCTGTAACTGCAGAGCCCACTGAATGCACCTCTCCGATGCCTTCATAGCCACCAATAGCTGGTAGTGGCGGTCTCACAGGATACACACCTTCAAGTAAACACCATATTATTCCAAAGTCGTCCATTCGATGAACGAACCCTAACACAAATAGTCATTATGGAAAGCAAAATAACGTAAAATTAGTAGCAGGATAGCAAACCTTCAATCCTATTGATATCGGAGGGATTGATAGGAGCAGCAAGCATCTTGACGCACACATCATTCTCTTTGATTTCAAAGGGAGGAAGGCCTATCAACTTGGTGACGGAGTCAGGCGAGCCGTGAAGCTCGTAGACAACAGCCTTGGAAGGTGGCGATACGGCGGATGAGAATGCTCGCACGCTTTGGGATTGGGCACCATAAGTTAACTTCCGTGTTAAGCCGAAGAGCAAAGATGATCCTTTTCCAGCTTTCCCACCCAGCGATCGCCACAATGCCATCACTCTCAGTCTGTGCTTCTCTCTCTAAGGATTCTTCCGGACAAATTCTCCACCCCGCTCAGCTCAGAACTTAATCAGCAGATCACTGCTCAGCTACAAAATATGTGTGGATCTCCATGTTAAGAGTAGCCTGCAAGGAAGGTGATCGTCGCTCATTTCAAAACTTCTATTTGGTACTTTCCATCTTTAAAATGGGTTAAGGAGGCCCGTTAGTCCGGATGGGACATGCTATTGTGATGGGCAGCACAGCATGGGATGTGTTTTTGAAAGCTTGGGCCTACTTTCTTGTTTCGTGTTCTGGGCCAACGCCCTTGAGGAAAAACTCTGAGAGATTTGTGTTGCAACAAGTGTTGGTCTAAGTACCAATAGAATTTGGATCTAACAAAAAGAGTTAGTTTCTCACAGTATGATGAACTGAAATTTAAACTCCTACTGTAATAGGTACCCACATTTAGTGCCAGTTAGTGTCTTGAATATGATTGCCTCCAATATGATGATACCTATGCTTTAGCCAAAAAAAAAGTGTTGGTCTAGGCGGGAGGGATTTGGACACCTTAAGCATCATATTTTAGGTTCGATATTTTGAGGTGATATGTATAGAAAAAATATTGTTGGGACCTAATAGTATCTCGAGAGATTAGTCTCTTACTGTTCAAGTGAGGGGATACTCTGGACAGAAGAGGGGAAAAAAAAAGCGGATTTGAAACTTGAGGCTGGTACTGTTGAAAACTTAAACGGACTCATCGTTGATTGCTTTTGGGAAGTTAGTTCAGATGAACTGGATCGCAAAATTCTGTGATGATGGTGTGTAATGCGTGGGTGCATTGCGAGTTTGAAGAAGGCCAATGACGCGGGCACAGAAACTGAAACATATATTGAAGGCAAATAAACCTTCATTCTGAACGCCATCCTAGTACAACACGAGTCAAAAAGTAAGCACGCAGGAAAAATATTATAGTACTCCTCCGGTCCTAATTATAAGACCCAATTGACTTATTTGAGGAGATTAAGGAAGTAAGTTAAGTTGGTTATTTATAATAAATAAGTGTTGTTATTCCTAAAATATCCTTGCTAATTAAGTATATTGGCTAAAACTATCATTATTAGAAGGATTATCTTGGAAAAAAATGCATAAATATAAGAGAGAAAATGGATTGGGTCTTATAATTAGGACCAAATAAAAAGTCAAATTGGGTCTTATAATAAGGACCGGAGGAGTACCAATTTATGTGAACATGTTTATAACGCCCGAATAAATACTTGTGAGTACAGTTCCTAGGAATGGAAGAGAAGCTCCTAGGAAACACCCAATATTTTATCTCGTCAACTTAGCCAGCTCGTGTTCTGCTGCCCCCAACCTGACAAGGTCAGTGTGGGATTATCACATGGTCAAAAAGTTTCTCGAAGAAATATTTTTGATGAATAGAGTGAACGCACTTGCAAGTTGCGACGGAAAATAATAATAATAATAATTATTATATATTTTGTCAATTACAGGTTTAGAGAGGTCACTAACTGATTTTGTGTAATCTGTATGAAAAAATTGTTAATAGATTTGAATATATGGTACTGCTGACTCCTGATATACGGGTAAAACTTGTTGGACGCAGGACAGATTAAGGGTATTTGGGGTTAGTTAGCCAACCTAATATTATTTATTCCAGCTTCCTATCCTACCCACATCGTCCAATGCAGCTCTTCCTCACAGCTCACGCCTCGCTATTCAATTTTTTTAACCCAAACCAAAAAAAAAAAAGGGCAACCGGACAGCGATTGATTTCTCATGCCCCAACATTCTCATTGGTCCGCTGTTCCTTGCGGTTTGACCGTCTTGCCCCACCACTTTTCCCACCCTAGAAAATGCACGGACTTACCCGCTGTCCTCTGGGCCCACATCAATTTCGAATGGATTAAAGGCAATGTGGGCCGCCCTATACTTCTTTTATTTATTTAATTTTTTAAAAATGAAGGGGAAATTAGAATTAGTTCTATGTTGACCCTCTAGGAAGATCCATGCCGTTCAACGTGGCGCACATGCTCTTTTTCATTGGCCATCCTCTGCCTCCACAACCCTCCCTCTTGTCTGTGCGCCCCCTTCCAAATTATGGGGATGAGAATTTGTTTACGAAATGAGGCGTGTAATCCACACAAAATAAAAAGGGGCCAAATTAAATTCGGATTCTGGAGCACCCCCATTTAAGCGGCCATACTGGAGTAGGGTTGATGGATAATGCAGAGTTTTGCACTTGGGGTTTGTAGAATCACAAGGTTGCAATTTGAATATCTGAGTTTCACTTCAACTAACTAAAACACCGGTTTTACAAATAACAGGGCCGGTGTATAAACTTCCAATCAATAATGCCCCGTTTGGTGTGCTGGAACTGAGTCTGAAGAATTGGAAGTGGAAGTGGAATCATGATTTTTGCTTGTTTGGTACCATGGAACCCACTTCTTCAGGAACCCACTTCCATCAAAAATGATGGAACTCAGTTCCAGGCGCAACTCGGGGAACTGACTACACTTCCATGGAACCCATTTTATTTTCCCTTTTTACCCTTGAAGCTTTCAGCCGAACAACCTTTGAGATTCCACTTTCAAGGTTCCCTGGCGACAACCTTCATCCGCGACGGCAATGGTGAGGTAACAACATTCACTCGCGGTGGCTACGACCTTCACCTATGACGGTAACGATGCTCATTCGCGACGGTAACGGTGCTCATTCGCGGCAACCTCCAAGGTTCCAAGTGCTTTGATTTTGATTTTAAATCAAAGAAGGATGCAATGAGAAGAAGCTTGCAAGTACTTCGATTTCAATTTCATTCTCAGATAGGTGACGACATTCATTGGCGGGATTTTTTTTCTTGCTTGAGTTGAAATTAGATCTTGTGGAAAGTTAGATCTAGTTGCGGAGGTCTGGAAATGGTTGTTTCTAGTTCAGGTTCAGCTTGGACCGTGGAAAAATTTTATCATTATCGTCGTTGGTTGAACTGGAAAGCGCAAGGAAGAAGAAGACTATTTTTTATTCTAGTATCTGATTTCCTTTTCTATTGCTTGATTTGGTTTGATTTCTTGTTTATGGGGTTCAGTTTCTTGTAATCATCCTCCATGGGTGCCGGAGGTTGACGGCGGTCTTGGGGCATCGCTGTTTTGGGTGAAGACGAATAACGAATGACAGTGATCAGAAATTTTTTTGTGTTGATGGCTGATATTTGTATTTGGATTTGATTTATATATTGCTTGGATTATGATTGAGTTTGGATTAATTGTTTAATGGTTGATGAACTATCACCAGCGATGGACGATTTCTTTCCGGTGAACACCGGTCGTGACTGTGGGAGTGGGTTTTTTTTTTTTTCCCTATTGAGGGTATTTTAGTATTTTTACAATATAAATATATATTTTAATTAAAAATTATACCCCACTTCCACTCTCATACCAAACATGTTTTAGAACCCACTTCCATTTCCAATTCCACTTCTAGTTCCACTTCCAGTTCCAGTTCCACTTCCATCAAAAACTCTTCCATTATACCAAACGAGGCATAAGACTACCTAACACTTAGTCTGTAATTTAATAGGGTTTAAATTTGGACCGACAATTAACCCTAATCATTACCGAATCATCCATGTATAAGCATGTTTTACTCTCAATTCTCAAATACCATATGCAATCCTTAATATAATAGCTAAGAGCTAGTTTGATTTTTAACTTGGTTCTCAATATAAGATCCAAATCCACTTTGTCTTTCATATTTATCTTTTTTTTTTTAACTAATTCTTATAGTAGCTGTACATATTAAGGTTTCATTAAATGGTACTTTTAACTAATACAAATAATGAGTAAGGGTGTTTTAAGAAAGACAATACCTATTTATTACAAATAACTAACTTAATTAATTTTCTTAATATCTTTAAATTAGTTAAGTACGTACGGCTAGTTTCTTACTTTCTTTTGCTGATAAACAACAAAACTTAATGAGGATAATTTTGCAGAAGGAGTAGGAATAATCACTTTGAGTCTTTGAGCACTGATACTACTGGCAGCCTCATCTTCCTGGCCGGTCCGAGGGGGATGGTTTTATATATATATATATATATATAGAAGAAGGTGGGTGGGCGCCATAAACATAATAGAGCATTTGCCTTCACCGAGCTATTGGTGATTGATTAATCATAGATTACCTTTATGCACACTCACTCTAATCATGGCTCACTACGCATACATGCAATTGGCTTCCCATTCAACGGATACCCCAAGTCACCATCCTCTTTAATCACTAAAGTGCAGTACCCACTTCCTGCTCTTATAATATATTTAATTAAATTACGCTAACGAACATTTGATCCATCCATATCAAATCAATACCATCATTTTCGTACCTCAGACGATTATTTAAATATTTTCGACTGTTCAAAGTACGATTTTTCCCCCGCCCCATCGAAACCTGTAGTCACGAAGTTAATTTCATTCCCTATCACCATGGTACATAGGATATTGTGTTGCACTTGATTAGATATAGCGAATTTAGCATCCCAAACTATTAAAAAAAGTAGATTGTTGGGTATAAATGAAAAATAACAACATGAATTGTTGAATATATTAGGAAAGTAGTATCATCATAAATAAAATTAATATAGTATATACTTAAAATTAAGCTCTTGCTTAAAATAATGACGAGAAATACTTAATATATCATCATTAACTCAAATGTTTATTTTCTTTAATTAGGAAAAGGAGAATTTATATGAGGGACACGTATGGAAGTAGAATTTCTCTGCTAATGGTTCTGTAGCCTATTAATATATATAATTTCCTTGTAAGTTGGGATCGAGTTGTGTGAGTCCCATTTGTCGTCTTAAATGATCATTAGTGCATGCTTCCTCTGATTCAAAGAAGGAGAAGAAGAAGCTCTACGATATCTGGTCTCTTCTTGTTAAATCATAGACGGCCGTTCCTGATGAATTATTAGTAAATATCCATTAGCAGAGTGGGAAACCGATATTTGTGCACTAAAATACAAAAAGAAAACTATAGTCACTCATTGAATAGGAAATGCAACACATAGGGAGCAAAAGAAAGCAAGGA